AATATCAAGTTGAAATTGGATCAGGAAAACATACTTGCAATTGTGAGCTATCAAAACGATGTAGTGTTGTTATACAGTATAGTTTCAGAAAATATAGTGGCAAAAAAGATTGCTGTGGCTATTTTTAAGTTGTGAGAATATAAAAGTAGAGGCTTGCAAAGCTTCTTTTTTCCAATACTGCAATTTAAGATTTTATGTTGACCAAAGAAAACATATTTAATAGGGATGAAAAAAAGTACTTTTTAGAAGAATAACTTATAAGAACAGTTATTTAGGCTAGAATATCAATACTCAAAGTTATTTTTATTCTGAGGCAAAGATCCTGAAAGGGGCAGTGCATACTTTGCCAGTATTCAGCACTGTAATGGAACCATTAGAGTAAATCACGTAAATCACTACATTTGCTTCCCTGAGTACCCATGTAAATGATTGTGTTAACGTCTGGTCCATCAACTTAACAATATTCATTATGAAAATGCGTGTTTCAGCTCCAAGAACTGAGATAAAAGGAGGCCTGGTGAAGGATATTTTGCGGAGTTCTGTGCTGACAGGTCCCATAGCAGGACTGATATGTGTAACCGAAGGGTTCAAATTATCACTAGAAGCCAAAATTGGCAGTAATATACGTTTCCAAAAGCTGAGTTGACTAGATCTGAGCCACTACGTGTTTACCTGTACATGAATCTATTTTCTTTTCCTATGGTGCCATCCTATAGTCAGAGCAAGGGCTCACAAAGAGCTATTTCATTTGCTTGACATTGTGCTTAAAAGAATGTGATGTTCTATGTACATGAAAATTCAGTTTAAATATAGCTAAAGCTATAATGAAAATCATCAAAGAAATGTAAAGTTCCCCACAGAGTCACTCTTAAGACAAAAATCATACTAAATTTTAGTAAGGACCCACATTGCTAATAAACCAGAATGTCATTTCACAGTAGAGTAAGTAAAAAGGAACAGTTTTTTATCCAATTTACATTTGAGAGAACATGTGTTAGATCTGCTCTTAAAACTTGGCCCATTCCTACTCAAAATGCTCACCAGTCTGTTACAAATTGTCTCAACACCACATTCTATGTTTTTCTTTGTGTAACTACAGGATCTGGGTAAAGTCTAGTCAGGATTTTCCAGTTCTTCCTGTATCCAAATCTTCCTCTAGTAAGCAGAGGTTCCAAGGAAGCTTTCCCCAGGTCAACCTTTGAGCTGTGAAAATACACTTTCACCCCAGATCCTCACTCTCACAATTGGATATCTCCTCCTTAGGAGATTCTGCATTAATGTCTCCTTGAACAACAAAGGAGGAAAGATGAAAATACAGCAAAGGGCTCAGTTTTTAAATTTAGTCATCTGGATTGGTGTGAACATCTCTTTTCGACAATATAAGAATCCTACTTTAGATTAGAATAATCTTGATTTAAATTTGGACAATATAATAATCTTGCTTTAGATTTTAATCTTGCATAAAATGAAGTTCCCAAATTGAAAATGGAAAAGAATTCTCAAAGGAATTTTTAATTTGACAGAGATGTATTTCACTATGGCATTTTTTCCTGTATTCCACTCATTCTCAGCCAGGATTTTGCCCCCATATGCTGCAAAAGCTGTTGCAAAATTTCTGGTTGTTGGACAGCAAAGCATTAGGACTATTGATAGCAGGAATAGACATTTAATTATTTTACCCCAAGTACTGAGAGATGTGAGCTTGAGAGAAAGGAAGGATGACATGTAGACTCTGTCTGCAGTGTCTTCCACAGTAACTCCATTAAATTCAAATGGGACTTCAGGGAGGACACTCATCAGCGTAAGGAAAGTTATGACAATATGATCTGAAGAAAATTGTGCAAAAGTGTGTTGCAGCAGTTGAAGAAGAATGAGAGATCTTAGGCCTCATAAAATCTAAGTGCTCTTAGTTTTCTGTCCCTTGGTTTTCCTTAACCATATTTTAAACTGAACATGTTTTTGTCAGATACAGAATATATGCTCTAAAAAAGAAAAAAATCATAAAACAGATACTTTACTTTTAATTTCCTAGTTTAGCAGTGTGATTTCTGCAGACATGCATATAACCTCCTCTTTTTGCAATGCTAACTGAAAGGGGAAAAGAGACAGGAACCTGGTTTATTCTGGAAACAGCAGGTAGTTTGATGTATTTTTACTGCAGATCATTTCCCAGGACACTGTGATTCTTATATTTTTAATCAAATGTGTGAATCGAAAACTGTGGTGTGACCTTTGGAAAAAGACACTGCAGGACATCGGCTGAAGCTGTGAATAGTTTAAGTGCAAACAGGAAGTTGACTTGGTTGTTCTGTAACAAAAGACTACGGTAATTTATGGAGTAGGAGTTGCAGTTTCAAAACATTTTTAATTGCTGCATTTGATCTGCTATGCAGTATTGTGTGACAACAGCTAAGAATGAAATGTCAGTGCCCATGTTTCAGCATAAATTTATACAGTGTGAAAGCAAAGAACCCTGTTGATTCCAGCTTTTCTTTCTCTAAGTGTTTCAGATTTGCCTGAATTACTTTCAGGTTAAATAGGGAGTGAAGAGGTCTTCAGTCTTGCAAAGCATTTAAGTAGATGCATAACTTTGTTCTTATTAAGTCTACTTATGAAGAAAAGAAAATTTAATGATAAGGGAAATAGAATGTGAAGGGATTTCACAATGACTTATGTACCTGGGATAACTCCCTTTGATAAACAAGTCTCTCTTAGCATGAAAGTGTATTAATGCTCACTGTCTTTGCCTTTAGTTGATTATTTTGGTAACTAAGGCCTATGAAAAATTCCATAAGTTTCACTTGCAGGAGTGACGTTACACAGAAGTAACTATCTTAGCTAACTTGAACAAGAAAAATCCCCCATTGTCATATTTTGTAAGGGCTTATTTTAGAAAAAAAAATGGAGAACTACAATTTTGGGCTCAAAACGTCATCAAAAGTTTATAGAACATAGAATTATTTCTACAGCATACCCTTCAAAGTCTTGTACTTATTTACTTCCATCGAGGACAATATACCATATCAGTAGCTACATGCTGTCTCTTGGTGATGTCTGTGATATACACTGTGGGCATCCAAGTCTTCCCATAAACCACTAGAATGAAACATAAATCCTGTGTGAGCAAACTCCTGAGTGATTTCCGGAGATAACCACAGATCATTAATGGGATCAGAAATGTGTAATCCCGCAGGTAATTTTTATGCAGTAAAATAGATATGCTAGATAATAGATATAGCTATTAAAAGTGAACTGATTCTGTCCCAAAACATGTTATCATTTTCTTAAACAAGGAGGAAAGATAGTAGACATTAATTATAGAGAAGATGATTACTTCTTTGTGGCTAGACAAACTTTTATGTTCTTACATCATGGGGAGCTACGTTTTGATGGGACGACCAGAAAACGCAAGTGAATATCAAATATGTGGGTATTTATGTGCTTGTGCATACTTGTCATCCTCAAAATTCCCAAAGGAGAAGGAGGCACTTTTCTGAATCAGTGAAGTTTTTCCTCATTTTTCCAGATGTCTTTTGCAAAGAATGCCTTTTGCAAAAATACCCCAGGTTTTTCTTTATTGTAAATATTTGGTCCTGTATTATCAGTAAGCAAATAACAAGAAATTAGGCAAGAAAGTTTGCCAGTGTGAATCTTTGCAATGTAACACTATAGGTAGGAACAGAAGTTTTTATCACTGTAGAGAAATTGCTTAGCTTTCATTGGGAAATTTTACTTGGAATGTATTATTCAGAATTAAAGATCCTTCCCACAGCTAACGTTTAAATGAGAGAGTTCAGGTAGATTACTCAATTTTTTGTACCATATTTTAAAATGCATTCTAAATGTGCAGTTTTGCCTGTCAGTGTTTTGCAACTAATAAAACTGGAAAACTCTGTCTTTTCATTATGGTCTACTCTATTATCTCTGTAATCAAACCATCTAATTTCAGGAATATCTGTTTAAAACCTTAGCAAATCGGTTAATAATGCTGCAAGTTATTTGCATACAGTAGTATCAACATGAAATGTGTTTTAGAGCATCTTTCATGTGAAAATTCTGTAACAGTGACAAGAAACTCACATGATAAATTTGTGTCAACAGTTTCAGACATTTTTCATACTTGGATAAAGGATTTTCAGTTGTTTCTTCCATACTTGGTCTTAAAGAGAGAACTGGAAACCATATTGGACACATTCACTTTCTGCAAGGAGAAAAAGACAGTGAAGAAAACTGTCAGCTGGAAAAATGAGATGAACTACTTAGTAATTTTCATCTCGTAAATAATTGTCATGATGCTGAGAAAAGCTTTTTCTCCAGATGAATAAGTACAAAACAATTCACCTGAATTTTTTCCATGAAAAAGTCACAATAATAATTTTATGTGTTGCAAGTAACCAGGATTCTCATTTTCAAAATCCTGACTGCAGTGAGAATTTTAATAAATGAAATAAAATAGATAAAGAAAAACAAAATGCAAACCCAAGCCTTTGACTTTCCCCTCCTTTTAATGGGATCACTGACAATCCAAGTTTATTGTTTTTTGTGCTGTGATGTTGTTGAAGGGAAATTCTGATGACTGGTGGCTTAAGACTGCTTCTTAAAAATTGTGTGGAACATTTCTTGGTCTTCTTTTTCTGCCCAGAGTTCTTTGCCCTTTAGGTAAAGCACTCTTGAGAAACTGCACAAAAAATCAGAATTACTCAATTAAATGAAATATCTCTTCAGAAAAGCCATCAACACTTCTCTCATTGAATTATGATAAGGTCTGATGTTGGAAAATAAGGCAAGGTCGGTCTAAGTGCAAAGGCCATATTTGATGGTCACAGAAGTTTACGTTTAATTCTATAAAGTTAACAAAGACCACATAATAGGAAAGGCTAAATATGGGCATTTTCTGAGTGAAAAACATTTCTAAATAATTTCATTTTCAGAGAAGTGATTACCAGTCTGAAAGACCCAGTTTACTTCTTGTTAAACGATAGACTTCAGAATCCACATGTCTGGGAGAAGTTCATCAAACTTGTGTCAATGGACTCCAGAGTTTCCCATCAGGCTTTTGCAGTCAGGAGCCTTCAAGCCCTGGGTGGCTTTGCTGGAACAGAGGTTCCCAAGTTGCTCTTCTGTTTCTTCATTAGTGATGTCTGGAGTCTGAAGTAGCTGGGTTTGAGCTGTGGATTTCCTATAGCCAGAGTGTTCCCTGACTCTGAAATACTCAACTCTATTTATTTTGCCAAAATCTTTCATAAGCTGTGAAAGATCATTTAACATTTTTGGAACAAGAGAGAGACTGGGAAGAGCTGAAAAGTATAAGTTCAAGGTTGATTTTAAAGAGCAAAACAATGGAAGGGTGATTCTATTTTAAACAAGCAAATAAAAGCAAAGCAAACAAATAAACAAAACAAACACCATGCAAAAAAAGCAGAAAACTACTGAAAACTGAGTAATATTATTTTTTTCATTATAACTTGGGATACATTTGTTAGAAAAAGTGAGTGTCCTATTGGACAGGAATTCTATATTTCAACCATTTCAAGAACATAGCATTCACCAAGGAATTAAGCTCTTTATGAATAATAGTGTATGACTAAGAAAAGACAGGACTACTTCTGTGCTCGGTCAGATCTACCACATTAAGTCCTCAAATACCTCCCATCACAGCTAGATATTACTGCTGGAAAAGACTACTTTAAGGTATCTTGTAACAGTTGCCTGGGCCATCCAATCCCTTAGTGAAATACCTTTCTAAAGAATATCTCTATCTCTTGTACTGTTTCTAAATTTGTTGTTTACATTAAGAAATTTATAATACTGACATTTAACATTTGACAGTGAAATATAATGTCCTTCCGGTTAATTACCCTTCCTACACACAGGGACAAGTACTATAAGATACAGTATATAGAACAGCTGGGACATTTTGTGGGGGTTTTCAAAACCCTAAATCTCCTATGAGTAATGTGAACAACACTTGGTGTGAGAAATACTTTATGACAGTATAGAATGATGTGTTTAATTAAGTGCTGTATACACACACTCCATACTCCCTCACCCCTATTACAGCTTGTGCCTTGCTACTGAATGTGTTTTGTACATTAGGAGAGATTTAACACTTGCAGAACAACTTCAGGTACTCAATGATTTATGGACCAGATCCTGCTGATCCAGTTGAAATAATTGGAGTGACTTCCATTGACTTCAACACAAATTGGATCATGGCCTTCAGCAAGTAATTTCAGTTCAGCAAACCTGCATGGGTTGAAGAAAGGTTTTTGAAACATGTCAAAGTCCCAACAGCTGAAGATTTGCTAAGAAAGCTTTCTGAATCACTTTAATAAGGAGTCTGACTGTACGACCTTTTCCTGAACAACCCCCCTAAATTTATTCAAGTAAAGATGCCAAATAAAGAAGAATAAAAAGGTAAATATTGAAATATGCAGTGGAACAAGTCATGTTGTTAAATTTTATTTTGTTTTGTTTTTTTAAATAACAGATGGTTTCTAGATTTGTGTTAAAAAAAGAAACATCGAAACTGAAAGCACCTACTGAAAGGTGAGTCTCTGTATTGCGTGGTTAAAGAAACAGGAATGACAGGAGTTAGCCAGCCCAAAAACGCAGCCTATAGACAGAAATGAGAGAGGAACAGTCATAGTTTGTACCTTCTGAGCGTCTCACAGCGGCCCTACCTCCCTCCACTGTGTGTCCCTTCCTCATGTTACTCCTTCATGTTTGTTTTCACTTCTTTCTTTCTCCAAGTACCAACTAAAACTGATTTTCAGTTCAACAACCAAAGTAAAACAGAAATTAATAAAAAGTTACTACATGATTAGCATTTTTGTTTAGCTTCCTTTTTACCCTGAAAAGTAAATAAATGCATTTGACCCATTCCTGTTTACTGATCCCCTCTGTCCCTACTGGGACAAAGTCATGCGATGCCCAGTTTTATTCCAGTCATTTGTAGTAACACAAAATGTACCACATGATCCAGACCCACTCCTGGGTCTTTCTGCTTTTACTTAATTCCTATTTTTTTACTGTAAAGTAGACCTATGAAAGAAAGAAAACAACTGTTAAAGCTCCTAAGAAAAACAGGCTATTTTTACAAGATGATCATCCCATTTTGATTACTCTCTTTTGAACAAGAAACAGTGATAAAGATATAGATATTAAAAGTCTTACTCATCAGAAATACCTAAATAATATACCACACTACAAAGTGATTAAATAAAAGACTGTTGCTCCAACTCTAAGTCTTTAAAAGATAGGGAAATGATTCAGCACTGAAGCACTTGACTGGAAAACTCAAACAATTATTCACTGGTTGGCACAAAGGTGGAAATTTTTTTAAACATTATGCCTGAAATAGAATTTGCTTTTTTCCATATTAGATGTAAAGGAAGAAATACACAACCATCTGAATCTTCTAACAGCTCTGTGCTTTAGAATAGTGGGATTGCATTTTCACAGAAAATATTTACTCTATGTAGGACATAACATCCCTGAGAACCATGGAGACTAATTGGCAGCTCTGAAGATCTGCTTAGAAGAAGAATGAGATCTGCTTTGTCAATTTGAAATCAACTTCCCTAAAAAATCAGCTAAGTAGCTACCAACAAAGCATCTGAACTGCCTAAACCTACCTCTGAAATCAGTAGACAGTGGCACCTCAGAGGAACAACAAATCTTATATATCAATCCATCTGTAGCTTGTTGAGTGATGCTATGCACAAGACTGTCTAAACTCTCTGCAATGTGTGTGTTCAATGTAGTATAAAACTGTCTCTTTGAGGTTTGCTGTTGCATTTTTGCTTGTTTTTTTTGTTGTTTATTCAGACATTGTAGAGTTCATTGGCACTATATAGAACAGGATCTAGAGCCCCATGGGTTTTATGTCCGTCCTCTATGCTTTCCTTCCCTCAAAAATATATTCTCAGGGATAGAAATCAAACTCAGCTCTGCTAAAGGATTGCATGAACCAGGATACATAGATCCCATTGTAATCCCCTTTTGTAGACACTGTTACACACTCACCACCCCTCATTCTCCCTGGTATTATACTACTTGTCACAGGCACAGGGAAAATCGGTGCCTGGCATGAGGGGAACAGATAGCTACCTACCCCAGTCAGGCATCCTCAAGGTTGATGCAAAAGACACTGTCAACTTTTCTCTGGCTTACCTGAAACTGGAGCCAGATCTTACTGCCATGTGTTAGACTTATACTCACATCATATGGGGTCCCTTCCTCAGCAAGACTCTTACCCTCACCCAGATTCAGAAGAAAATTATTTTTCTTCCTTGGGGATGGACACAAATGCATTGTGGTAGGAGCAGGGGAAGAATAGGAGCAGGTAATAATAAAGGCAATAAGTCAAGAAAACAGACTAGCTGTAACATACCGAAACACTTTGCTGGTTTTTGAATGTAAAATAACTTCCTGTTCTCAAATGTAAACACTTCACTTTTCCCCCCTCAGAGATGGCCCGAGACTCACAAAACCTCAGGCCATAGTCAAATGACATTCAAGTATGTTCTACCTTATCCATTCCTGCTGCAACTAGCGTGCTTGGTGTGCTCAGCGTGTTCAGGAACAAACAGAGGAAAACCCAAATGGTTCACAGAGAGATCCTGGCAGACCTTGCACAATTCAAACAGGTGTGGATCAAGTACAGAGATCTTATTTTGTTTGAGGGTTCTTGCAGGTAAGATAAATGAGAAGTGGTTTCTCCTCATAACACTGCAAGAGTCCTTCAGAAGATGCATTAAATACTACATTTTTCCTCATATGGGAAGTTGATCTTTGGTGCACTGTACCAGGACTGCATGGACAGCATATTGGAATTGTTATTTCACTCAGGCTGCAGTAAAGAAATCTATGGTCTCCATCATTCAAGACAGCAAAAGACCAGCAAAACATGTTATAAAACATTGCTTCCAAAAGTAAATACAAGTTACATGTAAATAACAAATCCAGTCCAAACAAAGAGGCCTCCTGATAGCTTGGATGATGATTCCAATTTTCTGGTAAATTAGAAGAACAAAGATGAGAAAGCAATGGAGCAACAGTGGCATGTAAAAAATTAGCTTTAACAGATGAATAAAAGGATGAGAAGATGGGATATTATGCCAGTTGTCATTCTTGGCAGGGATAGTTTGACAGTACTGCTGGAAGGACAACAAAACAGAAAGGAATAACAGTTTTCCTTTCAGCTGCTGGGTTTTCATATTTTAGGAGCTCAGGATTTGCCGTGGTGCTTTTGTGCTTCTGATTCTGAGAAATCATAGAAACGGATGGGCTGAGTGCACAAGAGAGACACAGAGGAAGAGTGTAAGCAGCATTTCTTGCACCAGCTTTGATCCTGAAAGCTGGTTTCAGCACGAGTCTTGTGCCCTTAGTGTAACTCAACCTTGGCCTTCCTCATCTTTAATCTCCCCTTCCCCTCTTTCTCTGTTTAATTAGAATCTGTCTTAGCTTGGCTAAACCTCTCTATTTTTGTATTTATTTTTCTAATATATCAATTTCCTTTTGTTTGGTTTTTGGTGTCTTTTTATTGGTTTGGTTTTTGTGGGTTTTACTGTTGTTATTGTTGTTAACCCTGTGACTAGAAAGGCAGCTAATAGTAGTGTGGTGAACATGAATCCAAGCTTGCCAGGTATTGGAGTGGCTGATAAGACTGTGTGCTGTGCTTGTCTTTCTCCAGCAGCAAGGTTACAAATCAGAGTCAACAGTACAAACAGAAGCTTTTTTTTCTCCTTTTTTTTTCGCTATTTTACCCACTCCCTTTGGGTATGTGCTTGTGCTGTTTTATTTTCAAGGGAGTAGGCCCAGATTCCAATAAAAGAGACAAGTACAGCTCCAGCCATCTCAGCTGCTTTTTATTTTATTATTCTCTCCCAAAGGGGGAGTTAATATCATCTTAATACTGTATAAAAAGACACTATCAACCAGGGAATTTTCCACATAAAAATGTTCTGCAGCTAAAAGAAAAGGGGATAATGGATGCTGTTAAAATGAAAGTCTCCTTGAACACTTTACATAACAAGTACTTTATCTGCTTGTCTTCTATATTTTTCATAAAAGATTTAAAAGACTTTAATACAGATTGTTTGCTGTAAGACTTAGATGGCCGCATATCTGCGTACCCATTCCCATGGAGCGTGCAGCCATTCTGAGTTCTGCAATGAGAAGGTCATGACAGCACCTTTGCCCCCAAGCTCCTATGCTCCAAAATGCAAACAATTCCCAGAACACATGCAGTGCCACCCTGCATCCCACATCCAAACTGGTTTGGATACTTATTTTGGTTTCTGAGAGTATTTACATTTGCAATCTTGACAGATACATTTCCGTCTTCTCAGAGGAGAAATACATGACTTCTTCAGCTCCTTAGCTGGAGAAGGTGTTACAACTTGAGACTGTCCTCTACAGAATTGATTATCTCCTCTCAACGTGGGCTGGTGCAGCTGAGCAGGTCCCATTGTATGGTGGCAGCTCATGGGCTAGAAAGGTTGTCATGCACCACTGGTGTCTGCGGTGTTTCAATTCAAAGCTCTGCATTATCTCTAATGGGATAATACCAAAGGGCTCCTTGGGATGAAGGGAAGCGAAATGTGAGGCTGTATCACTGCTGCTTGTGACAGCATGAGGTTTGCCTACTGTGTAAAAACACAGGTTATCAGCTCAAACCTGAAATAGAAAATGCAGATATTTAAGAAAATGTATAATTTATACACAGAAGCTGCTGGAGAAACAGGAAAAAAAACCCTAGCTCTGCTTTTCGTTTGTCTAAGAGATGTAGCATATAATGACATTTCTTCATCTTCCATTTTTTGGAAGGGCAATAGAAACCCACACAACAGTGACTCATCTGTAAAGATTTTTTCAGTTTTGAAATCTACCAGGATGCCTTTCTCAAAGAAGACACTACTTTGTCCTTTGCATAAGGGCCAGCAGCACAAATTGGCAGTACATAAGTAAAAAAACAAGAGTTGAAAAGCAGTAATTTGATACTTTTACATTTTATGTCTACAAATGAATAAAACGTTTTACTCAGTCAAACCAATCCAGTATAAGCTTTTATAGTCCAGTATCCTGTCTCCAGCAATAGCCAAAACTAAATACTGAATGTGTGTAAATATGATTTACATACACAGACACACACACACACACATTGTATATATGCAACATTTGTGAAATTTCCCACATCAGGCATCCCACATGGGTGATGACCTTCAACTTCAACCCTTCCATGTGCAGCGTTGGATCTTTCACCAAAGTATTTGACTGTGAAAATACCAATCACCGAGCATTAATGACATGATCAGCAGACACAAAAGGCAGTGTTGATGTAGCACGCATTAAGATCAGGAAGAGAATAAAGAGAAATTAAAATAATCATATAGTTATAGAAATCAGTATATTTCTAAGGCATTTTCTGATGGAGCTGGTGGACAGGCAAAACCATCCACCAGTTCTTTGTTGCAGGAAATAGGAAAATTCGAGCTGATAGCAAGGATGTTCACAGACTGTACTCAACTGTATATTTCTCTTGCTCTGTTCTGAGGAAAGATGGAGGAACATGTGACTAAACAATGTGTTGAATCAGATGCCAGGAAGAGT